CCCCCCCCGGAGCGGCATGGAGCAGAGACTGCTAATGTTCATAGGGGAAGGGGACCGGAGGGGAGGCACAGCGACCGGCCCATCGAAGAAGCTTGGTCCTGATATGCTACTGGCTGACCCGTGGCCGGTATCGAACCTGCTGGTGGGTGCAGCTCCCCGCATGTTCCGTCGTTGGAGGCTTGAGCACGGATGTGGCTGCTACGGGGGTCCCCGTAATACTAAATCCATAGTCATGATAGAAAGGCCTGGAAGACCCGTCTGTCCCGACTTGACATGTACTTGCATTCTTTGTGCGCATAAGAATCAGCCCTTTTTTGTTTTCAAGGGAAAAAAAAAACAAAAAAAGCTAGATGTCAAATCGGGACAGACCGGTCTTGCAGGCCTTTTTTTGCTTTTAAGAAAAAAACAAATGAAAAAAATGGTGGTCAGCATTGTATAAAATGGTTCCGACAGAATTTTTTTCCCCCTTTTTTAAGAAAAAGGAATAAAAGAAAAAGAAAAAAGTGGTGGTCAGCGGGAGTGCTTCTGTGATAACAGTCTTTTCGGCGCGATGATATCGAATTCGCGTTTGAAAAGTGGATATGAAGCGCAGTGACCTTTTTGATAAATAAATTGATGATTTTTTTTATAAACAAATTGATTTTATTGTTTTTTATATAAATAAATTGATGATTTTTTTAATAAATAAATTGATGATTTTTTTTATAGATAAATTGATGATTTTTGGTAAGGAAGGTTATATGGGTTGAAGAGGCCGACTACAAATCATATACACTTTTTTTTTTTTTTTTCCTTTTTTTTTTTTTTTCATATCCACTTATTCTTATGATTACTCTCGACCAATTGTCCATGTCATTGGGAAACCGAACCGGTTGGGGGTGCTAGGAGGGAGTGATTATATACACTAATATGGCTACTCTCGAGAAATTGTCCACGTAATTGGGACACGCTGGAATCCCCGCTTGATGTATGGATTTCCATAGCAGGGTATAACACTCCACCAATAGGAGGGAGTCCCAAATGGAGAGGCTAGGAGTGGGTGGTATTGTCACCATGCCTAGCAGCCTCGACGAGGAAAAAAAAAAAAAAAAAAAAAAAAAAGGAGTATTCTCCCAGAATATGGAGTTCCTGTTGTGTAGTGCGCGTTCGGACGAAGACTTTGTGAACTTGGTCCTCGGCATGTACTTACGTGCATAGAAGAGGTCAGATACAGACACAGGAAAGTCGTAGTGTGAGTATGGACTGGAGCGCTAGATAAAAGATCGAATCCTTTGCGTCAAGTTGTGCTGTCCAGCAGACGGTTCTCCCCTTCGAGCATAGGTCATCTCCAAAGCATACACGGTCGGCAGGTGTCGATTCAGCCATCGTCTCGCTTAGTTCCCCCCGACTGGCCCGAGCTATTGACCGAGCGCTGACGGATTCGGATTGGGCAAGGAATGAGATGTTGTGCTCTTTCGATTCCCTGCCCTGCTGGTTTCAGTACGGATGTAGCACTCCTCTTTCAAAAAAAAAAAAAAAAAAAAAAAAGCCCTTTGTTGTCAAGGAGGACCCGGGCAGCCTGGGTGGCCCGGCTGGTTAGCCTAGATTAGGAGTAAATTCATGAAATATTGAAAAGCAGGGCCCCTGCGAGAGGACTAAGGAGTGTTTTTCTTGGTCTTTTTTTTTTTCCCTCTTGCACATGCAAAGCACTTGTGTTGAAGCGCCAGCACCTTTCCCATATGTCGGCCGTGGGCCCTGTGCAGAGCATCTGGGATGCATCTGGCCGGGGAGCATGCCCAGGGATCTCCTCCTCGTTAACCGGCGGACAAATTTGTTTTTGCCTGTGAAAGGTACTCTGGCGGTTTAAGAATACCCAGATTCTCAGGCGACCTCTTATGTTCTTTCATTTCTTTTATTTTTATTTTTTTCCCTTTTTTTCCCTTTTTTTCCCTTTTTCCCCTTTTTCCCCTTTTGTAAGCAAAATGAGCAGTAGCGAGATGACAATATACAGATTGCGCAATCACATTGAAAGCCAGATCGTATCACCGTCCGTGTTCAGGAAGCAGCATTGCACCAACATGACACTGATGGAGAATCGTAGCACCGAAAGTCAATGTCAATGAGAGCTTGCTCTCGCCACCACCAACATATGTATCCAGTCTCTATCTCCCTCCTTGGCGCTCGCCGCCCAGCCTACTCCCTACACAGCTACTACTAGCCTACTAATTGACAATGCAACTGTTGACGTCAGCAGCCAACGAAGTACTTGAAGATGTTGCCCGTAGCAGACCATCGCCATTACCAGCTATGTACCCTTTTTTTTTTTTTTTTTTTTTTTTTGACCGTAACTGCCTGGATGGTACTAGGGGTGTTGGTAGGAGCAGACCGGCTGGCACCCTCACATCATCATCATCATCATCATCATCATCCTTCTCTCTGTCCCCCTCGACGTACACCCGCGTCTTCCTTCTGTACACCCGAAGACCACCCCCTGCGCGTCACTGGAGACCAAGCCCACCTAGCTATGGAGGATGGGCTATGCCGCTGCCCTCAGCGGCGCCTTTTTCTGCACACGACCGCACGTGCCCGCACCTTGCCTCTCAGCGCCAGCCACAGCCTGCGAGCGTTCGCTCCAGCAGCGCTGCCGCTAGCATGCAAGTGCCCAAATGACCAGCCGGGCAGCGCGCTCTTTCCTATATGGAAAGAGCCTGCCTCGATTGGAGGCCTGGCTGGCCTGGGCCTCGGCCCAGAAGCTTCCGGGAGGCCCCAGTATGTTGCGCCTCTGCTGCGGCTACTGGGTCTCATTCGGTTCGGCCTCTCCACTGTCTGTGTATGAGGCCGCGATTCTTGCCCAGGGTCTGCACTTCCGTCAAGGCCAGGAAGGGGCCCTTTAGACCTGCGGAGGACCCAGATCCTCGCACATTTTTTAATTCCTAGTGTTTTTTTTTTTTTTTTTTTTTTTTTTTTTTTCCCTAGGCTTCTAGTTGAGCTGATCACAAGCCTCGGGGACGGGATGATGAGGCTTTCGAGATGACTTTGTGTTTTCTGAAAGATCTGAAACTCCGATTCTTGTACAGAAGGCTCTTCGTTTTTTTTTGTTTTTTTCTTTGGCATTCACTTTTTCCACAAAAAAAAAACAAAAAAGAACCGATCTGCTGTCGTCAGCGCCTCGTCACGGTGTGCATTATATGTATATAACTTGTGGAGAAGAGAGCCCTCGACTGGAAGCACATCACTCTGCAGATTCAGACCTGTCTCTTATACACATCTAGATGTGTATAAGAGACAGTAGATAGATAGATAGATAGATAAAGTAAGTAGCTCTCTCTCTCTCTCTCTCTCTCTCTCTCTCTCTCTCTCTCTCTCTCTCTCTCTCTCTCTCTCTCTCTCTCTCTCTCTCTCTCACACACACACACACACACACACACACACACCCCCCTCTCTCTCTCTCTCTCTCTCTCTCTCTCTCTCTCTCTCTCTCTCTCTCTCTCTCTCTCTCTCTCTCTCTCTCTCTCACCTGGCCCCACCCAAAATAAAAAAATCAAAAATTGTTCTCTTGCCTTATGCCTCAATTTCTGCTCTCTCTCTCTCTCTCTCTCTCTCTCTCTCTCTCTCTCTCTCTCTCTCTCTCTCTCTCTCTCTCTCTCACACACACCTGGCCCCACCCACTCTCTCTCGTTGCTGAATGCATGTTTGCTGGTCTGTCCAGCATGTGCGCCTACGTCATGAAAGAATGGGTCTCGTCCCACTACTCACCGCATGCACAAAAGACCAAGAATAGGGCGGTGAATCTTCCCTTGTTCTAGCGGAAGATTTGTTCTCCTTTTGCACATTTGGTGAGTACTAAGCGAGGACCGCTATCTCTTTCAAAGACAAATGAAATGTACATGGGTTTTGGAAAGTGATGAGCACTGAGGCAAACAAGTAACACGGCGAATGAAAGGGGGGCGAAAAAGGGAATTGTGTGAAACTGAGCACGTGGGCAGGGATGGAAGCTTGTTTGCCACACTGATGGAGGGTAGTTGTGGTCTGAACCTCCTTTTTTCTTTTTTTGGGGATTTGTTTTGTTTTTTAATTATTATTAGAATTATTATTATTATTTGTTTTAAAACCTCACTGGCAAATCACTGTATGAGTGACATGTGTGATGTGTTATGATAAGTGGTTGGTCTAGTTTGGGGTGGGGGTGGGGGGGAGCAGAAGAAGGAGAAATCGGTGGGGCTTCCATTCATGCACCTGTTCTTTTTTGTCCTCCTTGTTTTCTTTCAAGGCGTTATTTCATATCTGAGCGCAATATGTTATAGTGCTTCTTAGCTAGCGGAACTTCGTACGACCTTTTTTTTTTTTTTTTTTTTTTTTTTTTTTTTTTTTTTTTTTTGTTGTTGTTGTTGTTGCCCGATGGACCACGGATCAGATAATAGACTGATCAGAACAGATACAGTGCACTTGATCTTAGCCAAAAGGCCGAGAAAGGTATTCGCCGTATGACTTTCAAAACACGAAGGGGAAAAAAAAAAAGAGGGAAAAAAAAAAGAAAAGAAAAGGAAGGAAAAAAAAGAGGAGGAATAGACAAAAGAAAAGACACTTCGTATGACTTGCCGGCGGGGGGG